GAATATTTTTTTATTTATATTTTTAGTAAAATGATAGTGAAATGATAGTAACACGATAAACAAAGTCAGCAACAAAACGCCACGTGTAGTCTAGTAGGGCCTGGGAAAATAAAACTGAAAAAGGGTTAGTCCACTAATTGTTGTTTTCAACATGACTAAATTTTTTATTATTTTTTTAATTAAATAATTTGGTGGAATTTGAGGATTAAATTAAAAGTTTTTAAAACTTGTAGCCTATTTTAGAGTTGAAGTAAATTCAAGGATCAAACCTTGAATTTATCCTAAAAGTGTTTGCAGGTTTTGGGTTATATATGCGTGCAATTGGTTTCTCTGCTCATAATTTGTCTTCCCAACGCCAACTTTCAAACCTGATCCCGAAGTCGTCTGATCTCTGATTGTCGTTTTGAAACCACCATCGTGTTCGTCATCGAGCGATGAACAAAACCCTTAAAGAAATTGAAGTGAAACGCTGCCAAACGTCGTGAATTTCAAGTCAAAGTCTCGACTTTTTTTAGCACCACCGTCGAGAAAATCTTAAATTCATCGTCGATCGTTGCTCCGTTTTCAATACCTCCCGCACCATCGTGTTCCTTGTATCGTTTCGTGTTCGCCGGTGTATCCTTGTCTCCGTCGGCGCAGCGCGTGAGGAGGTGAAGCGGTCAAAGTTCGGATTTATTGAAATCGAGCTCTCCACGTTCAAAATTTGAACCGAGATTGTAAGTATCTTCAAATCGTTTAAAATAATTTTTAGAAAATTTTCCCGATTTTTAAGACCCCGAAAAAATCGTAGCACGTGCCCCCACGAGCCACATGCGCGTAAGGAGCTCCGAATGTTAGACCAAAACCTAAACAGTCACATATCCCATTGAGAGATTCCCATTATATTCGAAACAATTTATAAAACATTAGAGGTAATACGGAACAAAATATCGATAGTACAGATAAATCCAAAATGATAACAAAATACATGTCACCAAATATAACTGGAAAACACATAGAGATATACGTTCATACAAAGTAAAAGTAATTGATATCCCTTGATGCCAAATCTGTTAGATCACGGTTTGCTGTTATCTGAAAGGGTAAATTTTACAGAATGAGCTAAAAAGTCAGTGTGCTTCATACAGTGTATAAAAACATACAGATCAAATAATTCAGATAAAAAAACTAAATTAATTTATCAAATACATTTTAAAAATATGCACACTACCTCCATCCAATCACCAGAATGTATAGGTTCACCCGAACTATACACCAGTAAAGTTTAACATGTGCACAAAGCATAGGAACCTAGGAAAACCGTAAGGCTTACCCTTGCACACAGCACAAAAAAACCTGGGAAACTGTAAGGCTTACCCTTGCACACAACAAAGGGACTTGGGAAATTGTAAGGCTTACTTTTGCACACAACAAAGCTTACCTTTGCACACAACAAAGGAACCTGAGAAACTGTAAAGTTTACCCTTGCACACAGCAAAGGAACCTGTGAAACTGTAAGGCTTACCTTTTCGCACACAACAAAAGGACCTGAGAAATTTCCTTCAATCATACCCCCAATGACAATAATAAACATGTATGTATTGGAGTAAAAACGGTAATTAATCCATTAAATATGGAAATGTTCCATATTAGAAATCATGTATAAAAATACTGTAACTATAAATCATATCAAAAATATACGGTAAATCAGACATTAAATAAACATTATTCAGAACACCAGATATTTTCTCATAAAAATATTTAATATACTCATAATGTAAAACAATTCAGATAAATAGTTTAAAACTGTAAGATAACACCGTCAGGAAACACACCTATAACAGTATGAGAAATCAGATAGGAAAGCCTACTATTGGGTCTGTCGATTACGCTTTGCTGCAGCGCTAGATCCTACGAATTGGAAAAAAAAATCCATATTGGAATCCTGACATAAATAATCTTAATATTTATTAAATAATTTACGGAAACCTACGGGTAAATCTCGTAGTACGCGGTTCGGACTTATCTGATAAACGGACAACTCCGGACCTAATTGATCCTCGCTCAAAACAGAGTACCTTCATAAAATATCTTATTGAATTCCATAATCATATCTGAAATAAATAATCAAAAATGCTAAAATACTAAGCATTTTGGGTTAATAAGCTTGATTCGGGGATTTCAAATCAAAAATTTGGCAAAACGGATTTCGAAATCAGATTCAGGACGTCAAAAACATAAAATATGACATTTTAAAATTTAAATTTGTCAAAGTCAAAGTCAACGGGTTTGACTGACGATTTAGAGACTTTCGGGTTTGAATTTGGCGAAACGGACCTCAAAAACGGATTCGGAACGTCAAAAAATGTCAGGATGAGTATACTCAGAAAAAGTCAAGGTCGTTTAATGGCCGGTCAACGCTGGTCAAAGTTGTGGTCAATTGTTTACACAATTATCACGCTAAACAGAAATTAATTACAAAACTAACACCCTTTTTAAAAATATTTACGAAATTAACACCCTTTTAAAATATTTACGAAACTAACACCTTTTAAAAATATTTACGAAACTCACACCCTTTAAAAATATTTACGAAACTAACACCCGAGTCAACGATTGGGTCGTGTCGGATCGCTTCGGATCGGTCAAACCGGTCAACTGCATTAAACCAACATTCGGAGCTCCCCCACGCGCATGTGGCGGCGCGTGCGACAGTTTCCGGGGTCCTAAAAATCAGGGAATTTTTTTAAAAATTATTTTAAGCGCTTTTAAGGCACTTACAAATCTCGGTTCAAAATTTTAAACGGTAGAGAGCTCGATTTCAATAAATTCGAAACTTTGACCGCTTCATCCTCACGCGGCGTCGCCGCCGGACAAGGATGACACTGGCGGACTCGAAACGACACAAGGAACACGATGGTGCGGGAGGTGTCGAAAACGGAGCAACGATCGGCGATGAATTTAAGATTTTCTCAGCGGTGGTGCTAAAGAAAAGTCGAGACTTTGACTTGAAATTCACGGCATTTGACAGCGTTTCACTTCAATTGATTTAAGAGTTTTGTTCATCGCTCGATGACGAAATGACGAACACGATGGTGGTTTCAAAACGACGATCGGAGATCGGACGGCTTGGGGATCGAGTTTGGAAGTTGGCGTTGGGGAAGGCAAATTATGAGAATCAGAAACTAATTGCACGCATATATAACCCAAAACCTTTCGACACTTCTAGGGTAAATTAAGAGTTTGGTCCTTGAATTTCCTTTAACTCTAAAATATGCTACATGTTTTAAAAACTTTCAATTTAATTATCAAATTCCGTCAAATTACTTAATTAATTTTTTTCTTTTCCAATTTTCCGGGTTATTACAAATTGGGTATGCACTTGTACCCATGATCGCTAGGGGAATCATGTTGGGTGACGACCAGCCCGTGATCCTTCACTTGCTCGATATCCCACCTGCAGCAGAGGCTTTGAATGGTGTCAAATTGGAGTTGGTGGATGCAGCATTTCCTCTTCTAAAAGGTATATTTGTTCATTATCATCGATCATATTGTTCGAGTTTTTAATGCTGTTTGTTGTCGAGCTGTATTTAAAATTCTACTGAATTTGCATGAATATACCTTTTGTTGTTTTGGTCAGGTGTTGTTGCTACAACCGATGTTGTCGAGGCATGCACTGGAGTCAATGTTGCTGTCATGGTTGGTGGTTTCCCAAGGAAGGAAGGAATGGAAAGGAAAGATGTTATGTCGAAGAATGTCTCTATTTACAAGTCTCAGGCATCTGCCTTGGAACAGCATGCAGCTCCAAACTGCAAGGTGAGATAAATATTGTTTCAACGCTAAATTTCTAGTATTTTGGTCACATGTGAAATGAAAAATCCCAGTTTACGTTTTTAACTCTAGTTGTACAAAATGTTTGAAATAAGTCTTAAAATTTCTTATCCACACCAATATAGATCGGGGCAAATATAATTTGCTGAAATGAAGCTGTGTTTTTAAACCTTCGAAGTGTCTACTGTATTTTTTGATTTGTTACTGATTTGGCTGGAATGGAAAAACAATATTATCTTATAAGTTCTTAAAATTGTAAATGAGATACATTGCTTTCTAGCAATATGCAATGGCATACATAATCTTTCATGGGTTCTTTGATGGCAATGTAAAGTGGCAAAATTGTGGAAAATATTTCATATACTGTTGACCTTGCATGCTTTCATGTATTTGTTTGTTTCAGGTTCTTGTTGTTGCTAACCCTGCAAACACCAATGCCTTAATCCTGAAGGAATTCACACCTTCAATTCCTGCAAAGAACTTACCTGTTTGACAAGGCTGGATCATAACAGGGCATTAGGTCAAATCTCAGAGAGACTAAATGTCCAAGTTTCTGATGTTAAGAATGTGATTATTTGGGGTAATCATTCATCAACTCAATATCCCGATGTCAATCATGCAACTGTTGGAGACAAGCCTGTACGTGAGCTTGTAAGGATGATGAATGGTAAGTAGAGTAATACTAAAAGAGTGGTTATCTGATGAAACAGATATTCGAACCAAGATTTTTGAGACTCATTTTGAAATTATTGATTCGTTGTTGGGTTGAATGGAGAATTCATCACCACCTTCAACAGCGTGGTGCTGCAATCATCAAGGCTAGGAAACTCTCAAGTGCACTATCTGCTGCTAGTGCTGCTTGTGATCACATACGTGATTGGGTCCTTGGAAACTCTGAGGTTGGCAATTTTGGTTAATCGGTTCTTTTTAATGATATTTGATACGGTCACTGTTATTTTTCCCCCCGCTTTGTTTGGTTGTACTGGCAGGGCATTTTTTCTATGGGGGTCGACTCTGATGGATCATACAATGTACCAGATGGGTCATTTATTCCTTTCCTGTTACTTGTAAGAATGGAGAATGGACAATTGTCCAAGGTAAGAATACAACAAAAATATGAGCCAGTATCTCTGTGACCTGTGGCTAGTTTTATGCCGGCATCTGTTAAATTAATATGAATACGGATCCCATACCAAAGTGCTGCCACATTTTGTTGAAATCTTGTCGTTGCTATACTTCTAATCTTACTTCAATTTCTTAGGAAGTTTGGAGATTTACCAATACCATATGCATCAGCAGCTTCTCTATTGTTCAATTGCGAGTTTCTTTCCTCATTTAACCTTTTTAACTTTGTCTTGGGGCTGGCTATTGATGAATTCTCGAGGAAGAAGTTGGACTTGACCGGAGCGGAGCTCGTCGAGGAGGAGTTGGCATACTCGTGCTCTTGAATGTGTTTGAAAGAAGTGTGTTCTTCCGCCTTAATAGGGTTTAGCTGGAGTTTTGCATAAAAAGCCATTCTATATGAACTGTTAATGATCGGTAAGCTACATCCCGATTCCCCGGGTCTATGTCATCGTGCATGTACTCGATCGGGATATTTTGGATCTTTTATTCGGTCATCCCTGATTTTAGCTTCGATATTAACTGGGAATAAGCAGTTTATGTATGTTGCTGCGAATACTGGTGTTTGTGTTTGTAGTTACTTAAGATGAGAGATTCATATTTAGATAAATATGAATACGTTCATGATTGTCTTCATTCATTCTGTTTGATGCTTAGATTATAGTTATTGTTAATTTTTCTCTCTTGTAGTCCAAAATCAACAATGTTATCATTTTAAATTTTTAGTTAAAAAATAAAATGATGTAACTCGAAGGATTTGATAACTAAATTGTTGAAACTAAAAATGAGGGATAATAGTTTATAACCTTTCTTTGCATTTGATCCGCTTAAAATAAGGCTTAATTATAAAGTAAGTGTTCAACTATACGTTTTATTCAAAAGGGTGTTTAATTTCTTTTTTGAATCATCCAAATATCTAATGTACAAACTTATCATTTTAGAAGCTCGGGACGTAACGATTGTTAAAAATATCGTTAAGTGACATTTGTCGTGTTTTGGTTTGTAACATCTTAAATTATAGGTAGTGATTAAATTAAAATTTTAGAATTTGAGGATAAAAGTAGAATAGTTGAATAGGTCAATGATTTATTTCAAAATATTTCATGAAAGTGTAGTAATTCAAAGGAATTAAAGAGTAAAATGGTCATTTAGAAAAGAAAGATATTTTTCCCCATTATATGAATTGATTATATGAAAAGATACATGATATCCAGAAATGGTAAATACAAAATCACATGATAAATGAGTTAATGATCATGATAAAGATGGTATATGTGCATGTATACATTTTGTTATATGAAATGTTTTATGTTTTCATTATATGTTTAAATGTCTCACTAAGTCTATGATTTAGCGTGTGATTGTTTCATACGTAGGTTTGAAAGCGAAAAAAGAGAAGTAAAAAGTTATGCAAGACAAGTCAATTCTCATTTCCAAAGATCAGATCAGAAAAGAAGTTAATAGTATGTATTTTGTAATACTTATAGTGGTTGGCATGTAAACAAAGATTTGAATCGATATGTTAATCGGTTTTTAAAAATATGGTTGAATTTGTAATGTTTTAAAGTGTATATGTAAATGGAAATTTATACAGATGAAACCTTAGATTTTTATGAATTTATATGTATTATACGGAAGCACTGTATCAGGGTATCGGTTCCCTGTAGCAGGGGAATCGGTTCCTAGCAGAACTCTGGAAAATTTAACATTTGGTGTTTACGACACTGTTCACGCCGTATTTTACTGTTTATAAATACAATTTTGCCTCAAAATTTTATAACAACACAATTCAACAATATATGATCGTATTTTCTTGATATAAGTTCAAATGTTTTGTAATTTTGCAAGAATAAAGGTTTTGAAATGTCAATGACATCGGTCTCGTATCCGTGTCGGAACGGGTTGGGGTGTTACATGGTAATTTGATTTTTAATTTTTTTAAAAACTATTATATTATAAAAAAAATCTTATATTGTAAAATTACAAATATTCTCAAACCTAATCTTTAACCCTAACTCCCTTGTCAGCCATAGTCGCCCTTGTCATCTCTTGGTTGATCGTTGTTCCCTTACCGTTGTGCGTGTAGTTGGATCGCTTGGGTGTCACAAATTTGAGGGTTGAGTTAGTTAGAGACACGGTTTGGGTTGCGATTTTTTGTTTCCTTCGTAGGAGATGTGTCTTTATGGTTGAGTTTGGCTTGTCATAGGGTGGAGGTTCTAGTGTGGGTCGACGTCAAACGATGCCGCCCACGTGAGTTTAAGGTGACATTGGGGTTTCTAAAATTTTGAGATTTTTATAAAGTTTTTGGAAAATTTTGGATATATATATATATTATTAATATATATATAATATTATAATTTTTTTTTTAAAATTACCAGAACATGACATATGTTATTTAACGGTTGAATTAACAATCATTACGGTCTAGACACCTAAAATGACAACACTCGTAACATTAGACATCTAGATGATTAAAAACAAATTGGACACCTACTTAAAAAAAGAGTCTAGTTTGATTACTTATTTATAATTAAGCCAAAAATAATGTGCATTTGATATCTAAACATTTCATTTAGTACAAAAAGAAAAAGATAATATTTAAAATATGCTACGCCAACGCATCAAATCAGGTCTAAAAGATACAATACAATTGAAGCTAAACTAGCAATTTACATTTATAATTCTATGCATTACAAAGAACATAATACAATCAAAGTTTTAAGTAGCTATCTAACCTATCTCAAGCTCATATCAGGATCATCTTCGTCATCGAAATCTTGTTCACTCGATGGCCTGGTTCTCTTTCTGTCCCTCGCCGATGATGCGGTTCTTCCCTTCTTTGGTTTCCCTCTGAAAGAACAAAATAAAGATCCATGTATTAATAGATAAGTAAAAAGTTTCACTTGGGTAATGCCAAAAACTCACTGGCCATTGGCAGCTAAGCCTCCACCCTTAGACCGGTCGGATCTTCCATCTGCCACAGAGCGGATGCCAAATCAAAGGGCGTCTAAAAATAGGGTATGATTAGTATAGTAACGAACAATGCTTACCATCCTGTCGAACTCCGAGTTCTTCAGCCTGGAACATAAAGAAGCAAAGTGAACAAAAGCAGTCTTTGTTAAATCTGAATAACTGATCTCGACTGCATGTAGTTTTGAGACACAGTCTGGCGTGACCATTTTGCGCAATTGATTTCTGCTAAAACAAATGGAAGTTGCAGCACAATTGCACAATCATGGTGAAACCGGAGAAATGCATTATTAAGTGGTTCTCAAGATGAGCACCGAGGTACTGACTTACGTTTCGTAACTCGGTTAAATGCTTTCATTATATAATATGATCATTGATGCATACAAGCGGTTCAAAGAAGCATATTACCGGGAAAAAAACACATTATTCTTCGATTTTAATCAAGTGCAGAAGGAAACCTAATACAGAACTTCAGCTAACCATCTCAACATGCATCGATGTTATCATATTAGGATACAGGACAAAATTTTCATGTCTCACCATGAAATAAACATGATATCCAACTACTTAATATCATCACATGCGAATGTGGCGATGACTCAAAGATGCTCTTCAGGAAGTCGATAGTTCCAATACCTGATTTCAATTCTCTTTAACAAGAATAAAATAAATATTAATCATACTAAAACATACTAGCCTTCATGAGCTCAAGCAGAGTGGTTGCTACCCAATCTGTTAGAAATCTTATTCGAAACTTCAGTTTCGGGATCACCAAGACATTTTTGCCTCTATCCATGATAAAGAACTACAAAGTGATAAAAGAACAGTTATGTATAGAAAACCGAAGCTTATTCATCTCATACCTGGAGACGTGACCGATGACAAAGAAAACAATCTATCTTCAGGCTGAAACTTCCTAGATCTCTTCAAGTACATAAAAAAAAATACAAATTGCCATGAATTTCATTCAAAAAAGATCGAACATGAAGTACTTTAATAATAACAGTGTTCAGTAGAAGTCTCAATTACAGACATGAATATGCTGTGGATTCCATTATGTGCTACTTCGAATCCAACTATGTTAATTTCGGGTACGGATATGATCAGGGAAAGTATTGTAATTGTAAACTAAGGTAACAGGGAAATATGTAAAAAATTATCATTCATTTTCTATGAAACTAAAAGTTTACAGTAAAGATTTTTATTCATACAGATGATGATAATTGCATACAGCCAGAAGTTTAGAAACTGCAAACTGGGAATTCAATGACTGAAAATGAATTCAGATGTAGAAGTCCCAACAATTAATAAGAACAACAAATGGTAAAGAGAATAGTTACTTTGCAGTGTTCTTGGATGAAGAAAGAAACCCTTCGAATCCTTTCAAAACATGCCCGAAATGGCTTGAATCTTGTAAATAATTAGTCTCTAACTCTAAACCTGCAACAAAATATGAATCAAATTGAGTAATTGAATTAACTGAGAAATTCCTGAAATTTGTACTCCTTTACTAAAACATACACATAAAAGAAAGCAAAAAGTAAGGGCAAAGTGGAGGGCATTGCTTTTCTCTTGTGGAGTTGCTCCAGCTCTGCATCAAGGTCTTGGATTTGGAGATATTTTGGAAAATATTATGTTCCTCATTGTTGGTCGAACCGAAGGATCGATGAGGTAAGTAGAGAACGTTCAATTGAAAGTTAGGTTTAGGGGTTATTTGTTTACTTCATAATGATTAAGCGTTGAATGATTCAGAGGCTCTGAATGAATTAGCTCTGAATGTGACATGTTGTTTGATAATGACTCTAAATCATTCAGAATATACTTCTGTGCTGAATCATTCAACACTATTTTGTTAAATCAGTCAGCACTGAATCATTCAGAGGTGCGAAACAAACGCGCTGAATGTTGAACGGTTCAACATTCAACGCTGAATGGTTCTATTAAGAGGCAAACAAACATCCCCTTAGTCTCGTTTCAGAATTGCAACAATTGAACTCCAAAGTTCAAAGTTCATCATGTGTTAAATTCAATTTATAGTTTCACTGATATTTAAAATATAAAAATAAAAAGAAAAGAAAAACCAAGTAAACAAGCTTAAAATCGAGTCAATAAACAAACTTTCAATGAGTTTGTTCATGAACATAAACAAATCAAACACACTTTTATTCGTGTATGTTCGTTTATTAAACGAACACAATTTTCTTGTTCATTCTTGTTTATTTAGCTTAATAATCGAACACAAAAGAAAATTAAACGAATGGTTCACAAATAGTTCATGAACAATTCATCAAACAATCTATTCATTTTAATAGGGGTGTATCTGGGCTTGGGCAGGAGGGGCACCTGCTTAGGACCCATAATTTTTATTATGTATTATACTTGTAAAAAATAGTTTTATTTTAATTTTTTCTCAAAATTTATTATTATGGGTCCAAAAATTTTCAAATATTTATTAATAGGACCTACTCTTATAATTCAGTTTTTCCTATATTTGTATAAGTATTGATTGTTTATCCAATATTTTTTTTTCTAACATTTGTTGTTAAAGGCCCAATTGTTTTCAATATTTATTATCAGTGGTCTAATTTTTGTCAATATTTGTTATTAGGGTGCCACATTTATTGTTAAAGGCCCAATTATTTTCAATACTTGTCAATATTTTTTACTATCGGTGTAGTGGTTTTTTGGCAATATTATTAAGTGTGCCTAGTTTTGTGTACTATTTTCCTCCATATAGGACTGAGGAGGTTTTTAATGAGACACATAAGTAAGTTTATGTGTATGGTTTATATCTTTCTGATAAAATCATATTGTCGAGAAAAAAATGCATTTTTATAATTCAACCCTTATAAAGGTTTTTAGAATTGTTCAACTTAACATTGATTAAGAATTTAATTAGATTAATTAGTCTGGTTTGAATATAAAGTAATTTCGTCCATTTATACCTCTACTTGTAATATCCTTGATAAAGTCAATATCATAATATAACAATTTGAGATGAAAACGAAAATAAAATAAGTATTTTATTAATAATTGAAGAAAACAATTTAGAATGAAAAATTCGATTTTTGACAGATTAAATGACTGGAAATAATTAGAGGTATGTCACCACAAAGTTTCCTTAAGGTAAATTTTTTACTACTCATTGGTGTTCGAGATCTTTAGTCACATGTCTCTCAGAATATAACAACGAGATGATCAGCGTACAGTAACACAACTATAGAGATCACAAACTATATATTGCCTGAGACAATAAATCACCCTATCAACACCAAACATGTATGACACTCTCCTATCATTAGGCCCGAGCCTTGAATGTCTCTACTAGGATCAGCCGCCAAGCTTTAAACATCAAATATCAAGATTTCGAAACTCGAACAAAGAACTGAGAAGATCAAACATTTACAGAAGATTTAAATGCATTCAAGTATTCATCGCAACATCCCAAATCTGGTTTAAAAAGATCATCATGTTGTGTTTATGAACATATCAGTCAGCAGCAGCTTCAACAAACAAGTCATGGGGTGTCAAATTCAGAACATTTTCAGTGATAAGACAAACCAAAAACAACTAATTTTCCAAGTTCAAACACATAAAAAGAAAGCAACCCACATAAAAAAGAATCAAACTTTAAACATGAAGGAAAGGAGAATACCATAGATCTTAATATATAGGAGCTTCAAGATTTAACAAAATGGGGTGCATCAAGAAGATATCTTTAGAAACAAGACAAAGTTGTTGTTGACGAAAACGGGTAAAGAAAACAAAAGAACACGAGAATTTTACGAGGTTCGGCAATGTGCTTACGTCCTCGGTGCCTAGGCGGCGCTAGAAGTTTTATTCAATGATATTTTAGGTCTAGGTTACATCTCTATTTATAATAGAAAACCCTGGTACATAATTACAAAATCAACCCTGTACCGTACCGCTGGGGCTATGCCCCCGCACCCCCAACCCACATAATTCGTAACCCAATAACGAGACTTTCTTTGTAAGGACAGTTGATGTTCACTCCGCTCCATCTCCTGTCCTCTTTACTGGTATATTTATGAGCCATACCTAACAGTTGTCTCATTTCATTCAGAAAGCTAGACTTGCTTTCCTCCAACTCCAAGTAATCTATTAACAATACTATTGAAGTTAGAGGTAAACCAGAGAAAAAGTCCAGCATCGTATGATTTAAAAAGGGATAATGTTAGATTAAAATCCATAATTATGGGCATATATTATAATGTATATTATCATAAAATATGAATAAATTAAGTGACCAATTATGTTATAAATCATAAGGTATTAGAAGTGTCATGGAAAAAAACTGTATATACTATTAAAGTTGTATTTATAATTTGATGAGGGGCAGAGTTATAATTATAGACAATACTGATTCAATCAGCTACATAAAGGGGTTATGTCCTCAAGAAATAGATATCTCGTATTCCTCTTATCCCATCAGAGAGTTAATATTAAAAGAATTCTATCTTCTTGAAAATCTCAACCTTCTATGTAATCTTCAATAATGGATTCAGGTACGCTTCTGCAAATCTTATATTTATTTTATTCTTGATGGTTTGACATCTAATATCTTCAAGATCTCAGCCTTCTAGGTAATTTTCAACAATGAATTTAGGTACGCTTCCGCAAATCTTATATTTATTTTGTCTTGATGGTTTGACATGATTAGATTTTGGTTAGATTTTTCATATTTATTTATAGTTTGAGTCTAACAAGTGGTATCATCACCTGTCACGTTGATTCATTGGGAATAAATTAATTTTAGGGTTATAATTTTGAGACTAAAGTTTTGACTAAAATTATAGGATAATACTTTCTCTTTGCGATTAACACTCTTACGTTTATTTGCGTTAAAATTCTTAATTTGCTTCAATTTCTGTCGCGTCTGGAAAATAATTGAATTTATTTAATTCTTTACTTTGTTTTATGGAATATATATATATATATATATTAATTCAGTTGGATAGAAATTTTTAATTTTGATCATAGGTTATTAAGTAAATTATTCAAGAATAAATAAATTCATATTTTGGCTATGTCTAGTATTTTAGTAAATTATTGAAACAAAATGTTGTCAAAGTGACATCTTTGCGTAGATTAATTATTTAAATATCAAGATGATTATGTGTTCTTGTAATTCGTGTGTTATTAATTGACCCAAAGGAAAATTAATATTTGGCCGGATTTCAAGTGACACATGTGGTAATAAATATGTGACAATTATAAGGTAATTTTTATGAGAGCATTACATTAGTCCAAAGATTAGTCTTTTGTTCGTCATAGTTTATTGTCGATGTTTGATTACTACAACAAGAGTATCGTTCACTCTTAGTATTATTGTCCAAGACTTGGTATTAATGTAGTGTTTGGTATCTTGTGATGAGAATTAGCCATTATTTCGAATTTATTGTTTGCTTATGTGAGCTTGTTATTTATTTTGTTTAGCTAGTTTTTCTGTCACAGTTTCTGCTAACACAATTCTATTCCCATGCTTAATGGGACAAATTTCAAGGAATGGAAAAGACACTTACTTATATGCTTGGTTGTATGAACATAGACGTTGCATTAAGGGAAGAACAACCTACACCTCTCACTGCGGAAAGCAATCCTGATGCGAAAAGGGATTTTGAGAGGTGGGATCGTTCAAATCGCATGAGTCTAATTATCATGAAACACATCATTCCGGAAGCCTTTAGGGGCATAAAATCTAAAGAGATTACTTAGGCTAAGATTCTTCTTGACGAAATTGAGAATTTTTTTGCTAAAAACGATAAGGTTGAGATGACATCACTTCTGACTTCTTGATGTCTATGAAGTATAAGGGTCAAGGAAATGTGAGGAGTACATTATGTGAATGTTCCATATTCTTCAAAACTTAAGACACTTAAGATCGATCTTTTTGAAGATACTTGTTCTTATGGTTTTGGTATCGATTCCTACGCAATTTAACCAATTTAAAAAAATCAATTATAATTGCAAAAAGGAGAAATGAACTCTAAATGAGCTCATATCTCATTGTGTTCAGAGGAAGAAAGGTTGGAGCAAGATAACACTAAAAGTGCTCATTTGGCCTGTGACTCTAAAGATAAGGGCAAGAAAAGGAAAAATCAAAGTGAAGCTACTAAGGGTCCAACTCAAAAGAAACAAAAACAAGATAAAGAAAGTTGTTTATTTTATAATAAGTTTGGACATGTGAAGAAAGATTGTACCAAATATCACGCTTGGTGTGCAAATAAAGATATGATTCTTACTTTGGTCTGTTCTGGGGTTAATTTAACTTCAGTACCTAGAAACACTTAGTGAATAGATTCTGGTGCTACTACTCACATAAGTGTTTCTATGCAGGGTTGTCTGAACTACCCAAAGTCAAATGATGGTGAAAGACACAATTTTGTGGGCGATGAAGATTGGTAGAGGTGGAAGCAATTGGAAAATTTAGGTTGTTATTAGGAACTTATTATTATTTGGATTTAAAAGACACTTTCGTTGTACCGTCTTTTAGGAGAAATTTGGTTTATGTTTTTTTATAGGACAAATCTGGATATTATTGTTCATTTGGAAATAATCAGTTTACTTTCGTTGTACCTTTATTTACCAGATGCAATTGCATCCTATAACGAAACCTTGCACGTGGAATCACATGGTACTAAGCAAAAATTAAATAAGGAACATTTGGCATCATTGTGGCATAAGCCCTTAGGTCATATCTCAAAAG